TTGTCCTTTTGTGACTGAGATATTTCACTCAGCATAATGTCCTCCAGGCTCACCCATTTTGAATAATATTGCATGAGTTCCTTGTTTTTCAATGCAGTGTAGTATTCCATTGTATGAATGTACCACAGCTTCTCTATCCATTCGTTTGTTGATGGGCACTCAGGTTGTTTGCAACACTTCGCTATTGTGAACAAAGCCGTGATAAACACGGGTGTGAAAGCCCTTGCTTTTTTACAACTCAGGTGTTTAGGTGATTCTTTCTCTCCCTCCAATCTCTTCTTCCTGCAACAATAGAGGGGGGAATAAACAGTAGCCACTGCAGATGAGAAAAGCCAAGAAAAATAGTTTCTTTATTTTGACATGCAGGATAAAAGCAAACAGACTGATAAATAGTGGAGAATCAAGGCTGCCAGCCCAGACAACTTTGAGATATATCTTCTAGGAAGATTTATATAGGTTACAATTATCACGTTTCATTTACATTCAGGTGCTAAATGGGAGTGTTCATACATCTGCTTCCTGGTTTCTTTGATGTGACAGACCTTTTGATATGGGGAACAGACTCATATCTACATCTTGTCAGAGTCACAGGATACCACAGACACAGTAAAGAGGAAATACGCTATAGATGTTACTAAGGTAAAACTGAGAAATTGGTGAATTCCTTTAGTCCAGGTTAGTGGGTGATGGAAATTTAAATGAAGTTGACCATAAGCTTATATCCCTTTTGCTCTTCAGGGCTACTTATCTTTTTTAAGATGTTAATGATGTTGTTGTTTATCATTATGTTCGTTCCACTCATAGAGACCCTATGCACAGTAGCTCTGAACCCTGCTCTATCCTGAGCCAGTCTCACTGCCTCTGACACACCTCAATTCTTCTCAGTCTGGAGAGGTCCCTAACAGCAGATTTTCTTCATTTCTTTGTTTGTTTTGTTTTATACAATGTCTTTTACTCAGGCTCGAGTGTATTAATGCTTTAGAAATACCACCTAGAAGGAGATGAGGAAAAATCATTAGAGTTAGAAAACCCTTATGTAATTTTACCAGATCCCTTCCTTTGTAAGGAAGGAAACTGAAGCCTAAGAAAATTAGAATTAATTCTTCAAGGTCATGTAACTAGAATTGCCCATCACTATCAAAGGACCTTGTACATTCTTGCTGGTATAGTTTGTGTGGGAAGCCAAGAGTGTTGATTGTGGAGACGAGTAAGCTGAAAGTTTTAACTATCTCAGTCTCTTCTCTATCATGGTGCAGAACTGGCCTAGTGGTGAGAATCTTTGTTTTCTTGATGTTGAACTTCAGTCCATATTGCAGACCACAGTTCCTTGGCCTTCTGCAGCAAATGTTTCAGGTCCTCGTCAGTCTAAGCAAGCAAGGTTGTATCCTCTGTATTATGCAGGTTGTTGATGAATCTTCCTCTAATTCTGATGCCACATTCTTCTTCATAAAGTCTAGCCTCCCAAACTATCTGCTCTGCTTATAGATAGAAAAGGTGTGGAGACACATCCATGACATACTCCTTTCTTGATTTTGAACCATGCAGTGTTTCCTTGCTCTGTTCTGAGGACTACTTCCTGTTCCAAGTATAGTTTTCACATGAGTGCAATCAGTTGTTTTTGGATTCCCATTCTTCTCAAGGTTAGTCACAATTTTTTGTGACGCACATAGTCAAATGCCTTTGCATAGTAAATGAAACACAGATAGTCATTCCTCTGGTATACTCTACTTTTGGCCAAGAGCCATCTGATGTTAGCAATGATGTCCCTAGGGCCTCAGCCTCTTCTAAATGCAGCTTGTATTTCTGGTTGTTCCCAGTTGATGTACTGTGTCAGTCACTTTTGGATGGTCTTCAGCAGAATTTTTCTTGCATTTGATATTAGTGATATTATTCAATAATTTCCACACACTGTTGGATCCCTTTTTTTTTTTAGTAGGAATAAATATGGATCTCTTCCATTTACTTGGCCAGGGGGCTGCCCTCCAGATTTCTTGGGGAGCACAAACAGGGCTGCATCTGTTTGTTGAAATATGTCAGTTGGTATATCAGCAATTTCTGGGGCCTTGTTTTTTGCCAATTCCTTCAGAGCTGATTGAACTTCCTCCTTCATTACCTCTTGAACATATAATGTTTCATGACATTCTTCTGTGTCAGCCAATTCTTTGTAGTACAGTACTAATACTATATAGATGCTAATACTATATGTGTATAATAAAGGGGCCTTATTAGAAAGATGAAAGTGAAACTCAGAAGCAATCTTATGGTAGTGGTAGTTTGTTGATGGTGCTTGTTAGGTGAACAAAGGCTTATAGAAACACTGAACAACAAACCTGAACCTTTCCTTGTCCTGCACCATCCTCCAGATCTGTCATGCTTACACCCGTTGTGGCAGTCCTCACATCTGTCCATCTCATTGAGGGTTTTCCTATCTTTTGATGACCTTTCCCAGCATGAGGTTTCTAAGGATTGGTTCCTTCTAAAACCATGCCCCAAGTAAGCAAGACAAAGTTTCATGATCATTGCCTCTAAGGAGCATTCTACTCATAATCCCTTCAAGACAGATTCATTTGTTCTTTTGCAAGTTCATGATATTCAGTATTCTTTTCCAATTCAAAGGCATCAATTCTTTCTCAGCCTTCTTTATTCACAGTACAACTTCAGATGCATAGGAAGCAACTGAAAATATCAAGGCTTGGATCAGGTTCACCTTAGTCTTTAAACTGACATTCTTGCCCTTTAGAACTTTGGATATGTTCTTCATGGTAGATTTCCCCAGTGCAACATGTCTTTTGATTTCTTTTTTTCTCTCTCTCTCTTTTTTTTTTAATTTTAATTGGGAAAAAACAAATTGGGGGTACAAGGAGGTGAGGGTTGGGGGCAGAAGGGTGAGGATGGGCAGGGATGCAGTTGCAGAGCTGCAGAAATTGGTTGGTGGGGGGAGCAGGTGAAGGAAATGAAAGTGATCCAGTGGGGACCAGATGCTACAGGAAAATGACAAGCATTTTCCAATGGTAGTTAAATCAACTGTCTTACTGGTTTGGGAACTGGATGCCGAATCTCTGGTTTCTTCATGCTAAACAGGGGCGTTGATGTGTGCCCCGGCCCGTGGGGATCTTCAACGGTGACCCTAGGAGGGGAAGCCTATACTTGGACGAGGAGGCAGTCATCAGAACAGAGCAAGGAAATACCACATGGTTCAAAATAGGGGAAGGGTATATGCCAGAGATGTGTTCTATGAGAAATGTGGCATCAGATTGGAGGAAAACTCAACAACCTACGTTATGCAGATGACACAATGACACAATCCTGCTTGCTGAAACTGAGGAGGACCTGAAGCACTTGCTGCAGAAGATGAAGTATGCAGCCTTAAACATGGATTGAAGTTCAACATCAAGAAAACAAAAGATTCTCACCACTGCTCTGATTGGCAGCATCATGATAAATGCTGAAGAGATTGAGATTGTTAACAGCTTTAATTTGCTTGGGTCCACAATCAACACTCTTGGTACCAGTAATCAGGAAATTAAAAGACAAATTGCATTGGGAAAGTCTGCTGTCAGAGACCTCTCAAAAATACTGAAGAGCAATGATATCTGTCTAGAGACTAAGGTGCTCCTTATCCAGTCTTTGCAATTACTTGCTATGTGTCAGAGAGTTGGACGATGACTAGTGATGATAGAAGGAGAATTGATATCTTTGAGCTGTGGTGCTGGAGAAGAATATTGGACTGCGAGGAGAACAAACGAGTCCATCCTAGAGACGGTGGGACCAGGTTGTGTGTTGGAGGCAAGGATTCTGAAGCTTCGTCTGACACACTTTGTACATGTTTCAAGGTGGAACCAGTCCTTGGAGAGGGATGTAATGCTTGGGAGAGTGGAGGGAGAGAGCAAGAGAGGAAGACCCTCAATGAGATGCATCAATTCTGTGACTGGGGTAGTGGGGGTAGGTGTGTCAGAGACAGTAAGATTGGCACAGGATAGAGCAGGGTTTAGGGCTAGGCTATTGTACATAGGGTCACTATGAGTGGGAGGCGACTCGACAGCACAAAACTACAACAGCACAACTAGAACAGCATGTAAACTAATGGCGCCTGCCATTAGAACCCAAAACCAAACGTTCAGAACAGGCACAGGCTAACTCATAATCTAGGGAGGAAAACAAACTAAGCTGGAATCACAGAAAATAAAAATTGATACCCAACACAATTGGAAGCCTCTCCTTGCCCATGTTCCATCTCCAGGGACTTAGCAGATGGTTGTTTAGATCTGTTTAAACGGACTTGAAGATAAAGAACAGACTCCTAGGGCTTGCCCATCAAAAGGTTCATTCTGAAACTGGACCCCTCTTGTGCAGACTCTGAGGAAGCCAGGGGAAGGTTAACTGCCCAGGACTGTCATGTTAGAGCGCCCTGGGACGGTGATCAGAGGGTTAACTGTCCCGGAGGGCTCCCTGCCAGGGAAGATGTTTCCTCCTGGGGTTTGAATTTTAATGGCAGCGCTGCCTTACCTGCAATGTTTTTGGACAAGGCCTGGCAGTGAGAGGGTTGACTGTGCTGGCTGGGGACCTCAGGAGCGGGAGCCGGGCCTCGAGGTGGGGTTGGATTGGGGCGGGGCCTAGAGGCGTTGTACATCTTCGGTCCTCGGCCTGCATCTGGTGCGACTATGCTGTCCTCAAACTGGCTCTTCCTGAGGGTCTGCAATTTACTGGGCGAGGAAACTGACCAAGGTGTGAGGGCGGTGATGGGATGCAGAGGGTTAAGGGGACGGTCGAAAGTGCCCTTAGAAGAGTCCTCGGGACTGATGATCTTATAAGGGCAAGGTGAAGAATGGGCTTGGGAGTCCAGGGGAGCAAAAGAGGGCGATTGGAACCATGGGGTACCAGGGTGAGGCGAGATGCCCCCGCTTCCTTCTCTCCCAACTTGGCTCTAGGTTAATCACGAATTGGAGTTAAACTTTAAGGAGACATCACCAAGACTTGGCAGTTCTCCACTGCTCACCTCCATGGGCCAGATGGCCCTGACGAGGGCCAGCAGCAGCATTCCCAAACCACAGGCCTTGTACCCTGACCTCTCTTCTTCGGAGGGTTTAGAGGAGCTGCTGTCTGCATCTCCTCCAGACCTGGGAGCACAAAGGAACCACGGCTGGAACCCGAAAGACTGTTCAGAGAACATCGAAGTCAAAGAAGAGGGGTTGTGCCTTGAGCGGCGGCCTGTGTCCCAGAGTACCGATGGGGCCCGGGGAAAGAGAGGTTACTCAGCTGGCCCCCGGAGCAGAGGGGCACTCTTGCTGTGGTGGGCGTGGCCAGGGCCTTTGCCCCGCTGCAGGCTGCCCACTATGCGGCGCTGCTGGGCAGCAACAGCGAGTCTTGGGGTTGGGACATCAGGCGGGGCAGTCTCTACTATCAGAGCAAGGAGAGAGGCGCCCCTCAATATCCAGCCATACCTTCAGGGGAACACTTGGAAGTGCCAGAGAGGCGTCTGGTAATTCTGGACATGGAGGAGGGAATTCTAGGCTACGCTATTGAGGGTACCTACCTGGGACCTGCCTTCCACGGACTGAAGGGTAAGATCCTCTATCCAGCAGTAAGCGCTGTATGGGGCCAGTGCCAGGTCCGCATCCGCTACTTGGGCGAAAGGAGAGGTGAGGCCTGAGGTAGGTGCTGGGAAGAGGGTTTTGTCACTGGTGGCACTGAGAATAGTGAACAGGAGCTCAACTTCTGGTAAGAGCAGAGATGTGCCTTCATCTGACCTATCTCAGAACTCTATTCTGTTAGACATGGCTAAGGGTAGCCTAGTGGTAAGAAGCTGCTCTGCAATCCCAAAGGCACACGGTTCGAATCCAGCAGATAGATGGTCTGTGGACTACAGATGGGCAGTCTGTGAAAACTATAGGTCTGTTCCAATTAAATGGCAAACAATAGAGGAAAACTAAGACTTGGGAAAATAATTTGCACAAGTTCTCTTGGCAAAGTAATTAGCCCTGACTGGGGTGCTCCATTCTCAAAAGGCTCCAGGGATTTTCTGGAGGTGTTAGGTAAGAGTTAAATGGGAGCCTGGGCAGAGGAGCAGGCCTTGGGGAGGAGCCTCCTTGGGGAATCATTTAAATGAAGCCAGGCAGAATTTCGCTATTGGAGTTTGTAGTCTCTCTAGCACAAGGTGGATGATTCTCCATCCATCACTGATGGTGAGCCATTAAAGGCTGGACGACCATCAGGTATCAATGGCTGACCTCTACCACTACAGGAGCCACCATGGCCTGTTGCTAAGACTTAACTGGAGCATTATTCCAAGTGCTGATTTAGGATGTATGAAATATAGCTGTGTGTCCACCCTAATAGCACATGAAAACTTTAAGGTACCCTATATTTCCCTTCTTAGCCAAGGTGGGCCAAGTTTAGCATGGAAAGGGAACCTGGGCAGGTCCCTATAGTTTGAAGGTATCTGTGTAGTGCTGCACCCCTAACCTTCCCCTCCTTCTCTCTTCCAGCGGAGCCATACTCCCTTCTGCACCTGAGCCGCCAGTATGTGCGCCAAGCCCTGGGGGATACCCGACTTGGCCAGGTATCTGCTCTGCCCCTGTCCCCTGCCCTGAAGCACTACCTGCTCTACCAGTGACCCCTCTGGTATTAGACAGTACATGGAGACCTTGTCACCCACTGCCTCACCTTGTGGGAGATTGGGAGCCAGGTATTACTGGCCTAGACCAATTATTTAATACGGCTGAGGGGAGGGGAGGCCAGGCCCCTTCCCCAAACATTCTGAGGGGCTCAACAGTCCCAGAGGTACTCAAGGTGGGATAAAGATAGGGAACTGTTATTCAAAGCTGTGGCACCCTGATACAAAAGACTCAAGTTGAAAATAAGTTGTTATAGAAACTTGTCCATGGCTTATTTTTTGGTACAAGGGATAGGGATTTCTTTAAAAACAAATAGTATGGGAAGTTTCCTCCCATGTGATTTACTGCCTCTGAAAACCCACTGGAGGGCCAGCTGAGTCGGTTCTGACTCAATAGTACATAAGATGTGCATGTATAATGAAGAACAAACTACAAGGCTCAGTGCCAGATATTTATTCCCCCCTCACACGGGGCAGCTCACACACACAATAAACACAGGCATTGGACTCATGGGCAGTACCCCTGGCCTCCGAGGGAAGGACAGGGTTTTCTCATGGCATGTACATGTGACAAGAACAGAGGAGGTTCTCTCCTGCCCTCTCACTGGGGAGGGGACCGAGGGGCAAGCTCCGCCTCTCATACCTCCCAACCAATGAGAAGCCACCTTGGTGACATGTTTCATTCAAACTATTGTAGTAAGTGAAGAAGTGATTGGCCTGGTCCCAGCCATTGCAGGGAAGGTGTAAACGGTAAAGGAAGGTACAGTATGTACTCAGCCATGAGAGGGGGAAAGTGACACCATCAGAAGCACGTGGTGGTGGTGAGGAGCAGTTATTGGGCTTCTGGGCTGCCTGGTCTCTGGTTCAGCAGGAAGAGGGTAGGAGAGATGAATGGAGCTTATTGTTTGGCATTGATGATGTCCACAAATTCAGGCTTCAGGGACGCACCACCCACCAGGAAGCCATCCACATCAGGCTGGCTTGCCAGCTCCTTGCAAGTAGCCCCTGTCACAGAACCTGGAAAGGGGGTAAAGAGGGACTAAGCAGGGGTGGGATGGGCATATTCTTATCTATCCTACATCTAAGGAGGGACTTGGTTTAGTTTTCAGTCTGTCCTACTCAAGGTGGGGCCAAACCCACTCACCTCCATAAATGATACGAGTACTTTGAGCCACCGCGTCAGAGACATTGGACTTGAGCCATCCCCGGAGTTTTTCATGTACTTCCTGGGCCTAGAACACAGGCAAGCTAAGTAAAGCCTTTTCTACCTCTCACTCAAAGGGGAAAACAACGGGTACTTGTGGGAAAGAGGTAGTATGATCTCTAACACTAGAGCTTCAGTCCCAGCTGGCCAGAATGAGTGACCCTGGACAAATTTCTTTATGGACTTGGGGACACCTTGTCTTTATCATGGGGGGGGTTGGCCTAGTTGGTATTTGTAACTATTCAGTTCTACCAAAGACTGAAGCAGATTAGGGAAGATCTCTTGGGATGGGTCACCTGCTGGGGTGTTGCAGTCTTGCCGGTACCAATGGCCCACACTGGCTCATAAGCCAAGACGACCTTGCTCCAGTCTGTCACGTTATCTGCAGGGCAGAGATCACAGATGGAGGAAAAGGTGAATAGGAAGGAGCTCTCTAGCCACTTTCTCCAGAATATGAAGGATAGTGGCCCACTGCTGCCCCCTCATGGCTGCTGAAGGAACTGTACCATTAGGAGCAGTTACACAAGTGAGGATGCAGGGACATCATCACCCTTCCCTTCCCTGGATTAGCATGAAGATCAAAGTTAAGTTGCAGAGCATTTGAGCCCATACCCTCTGGCCCTGGCAAGAATCAAAGTTCCCTTCTTCAGAGATACCTGCGATGACCTTCGTTTGCTCAAAAACGACCTTCTCAGTGATGCCAGCCTCCCTCTCGTCCAGCTTCTCTCCAATGCAGGCAATGACTCCAAGTCCCTCTGCCAGGGCATGGGCTACTTTTTGTCCAATCAGCTGTTGGGAGACATGCTTGATGAGACAACCCTCTTGGAATAAAACATCTCTTTATTTCCCCTTCCTGGTTACTAACCTCATCTGACTCTCCAAAGACATGCCTTCTTTCTGAGTGTCCCAGAACTACCCAAGTGGCTCCACAGTCTTTGATCATGCCAGGACTAAAGGAAGGGAGGAAGCCATGGTTCATGACGTAGCCCATCATGTGACTTTCCCCTCAGCTGAGGAAAGTAAGCAACAGGTCCCCATCCTACCCTTTCTGCTTGCATCTCACCTGATCTCCCCAGTGAAGGCCCCATTAGTCACTTTGTAGCAGTTCTGTGCAGCCACAGCAATCTTGGCATCTAGCTTCTGCCGAGCAAAGTCGATGTAGGCGGTAGGAGGTGCACAGACAACCTCTGAGAATGAGATGGAGGCACCAGGGGAACAAATCACAAGAAAACGGAATTCTTCAGATTTCCAAATCAGTGCTTCAGAGCCTCCCAGCTTCTCCTGACGTCTGCTTTCCTCCCCTTTTCACCCACTAAGATGACCTTTGTCTACTCCCCAGCCCAGGATGGGCCTGCACCCAACTCCTAGAGACATCCAGGTGCCCCTTAGAGGCCATGGTCTAGTCCTGCCCTCTGCTCTTTTAAAACAGCTGTGGCTCCGGTTTCCCTGGGGCTATTCTGGGCATGGGAACCTCCCAGACTCAGCATTCTCTGGGGTCAAGCCTGCCTCCCTTCTAAAATAGCCCATCCCCACCTCTGCTAGCAAGCAAGGATTTTTTAGCAAAGGAGTAGGCGGCCAACTCAAGGGGTTTGTTTTGGAGTCTTTGGGGAAATAAACGAGAAGTGAATACTGAATCAGGCTCATGGTTCTATGACTTGGGAGAGAGTTGGAAGCAAGGGGCAGAGGACTGAGTTTTTTTGCTTGTGAATGGTATAGAGGTCTTGTGAGTTCCCGTTTCGAGGTTGGGGAATGTTGTAGGATTGCTCCTCATTCCCAAATGGCCCAGCTGGTTTGGCACCAGCTCAGCTCTTCTGTGGAAGGGGGGAGTTGCCCTGGCAGCTGAAAAGGCAAAGGACCGGCCCTGGTAGCTCTGCAGCTGAAAGCAGCTATGAGCCTGGGGCCTTGCGCTCCGGGCCGGGGAGGAGTCTCCGGCTACGTGCAGCAGTGCACAGAGCTGGGAGAGGGGCAGGTACCGGGAGCCCGCACGCGCGCTGGGCCTCCTCCCCCACATTCGGGGGCAGTCCTAGCCTTTCCCGATCGCCCACAAAGCCTCGGGTTGGTTCCTATCTCCCCGCTGTGGCTAGTGCAGCCCCAGTATGCGCCCTGAGGCCATCTTCCTCCTGGTAACTTATATTCCTTCCCGCTCAGTGTCGGAGGACACCATTAAATGGGTCCCAGCCTTTTCCCCTAGACACACCTTAGCAACTGAGGCTGCGAGGTCACCACATTGAAGGATCCAAGTGTGAACACTCAGCCCTTTTCTCTGGGCCGTGCACCCAGCTCCGCGTGGTCATTGACTCACGGAGCTCGGTTCTACCACGCCCGTCTCCCTTCCCAGCCCCAGCATCTCCCCGGTGAGGGCCTACCGGTATCGGCCGGCACCTTAGCCGCGTTTAGAGTGGTGATGAGTTCTCCCAGACCCTTCTTTCGCCCGTTCATTTTCCAGTTTCCCCCAACGAAGAACTTCCTGGAGGGCGCCATGGTGTTAGAGTCGACACACTGAAGGTCAGCAGCACCGCGCAGCCGCTGCCACTGGCCGCTTATATAGAGCGCGGTGAGGCAAATCCCCGCCTCCTCCTGGTCCTCAGCCATGATTAGCCCGGCCCCCCTGCCTAGAAGCCCTTCCCCTTGGTCCCGCCTGCCCCCCGCCCGCAGGCCCTTCGATGGTGTTGATGATGTTGCAATTGCTGACGTTCCCTCCTTTCTTGTAACAAGGTTCTATGGGCGGTGGCGGTCTAGGGTCACTTTAGCCTCAATTGCTTGGTTATGAGGGGCAGGCTGAAACTGTAAAAACCTGCGCTCAGGAGTACCCCAGGTTCTTGACTACAGCTCCCCCAGAGCCAGGAGTAGCTTGAAATGGAGTGGGCTGGTGGTAGTCCAGGCCACTCGGCAGCTTGGTCTCAGGCCAGACTGGTGGTTAGGGGAGAGGGATTTCTGAGGGGCCTGACTCCAAGTCAGGGAAAGAGAAAACACATCCCTGATGCTGAGCAGGCACCCCTGACCTACCCAGGGAAATGTCCAGCCCCATCGGTTGCTAGGCAAATAACAGGGTTCAGAGGGATAGGGACAGCCCACAGAGCTAGTTCACTGTGCAGCTAAGGTCAGAAGGCTGAAGTTCCTTCCTAGAGTTGCTCTGCTCTGCTTCAACTGTCCATGGATTGAAAGGCCTGGGACCCAGGCTGAGAGACCTCTAGTCAGCTGGCCACCCCTACCTACCCTATACTCAGCATTTGGTTCATGCCACTGCACTTCCCTATTCTGACAGCCCCAACTAACAGTTTCCTTCCCACTCCTACCTCCACCCCTGCTACTGCTCCACTGACCTCCTCTGTCTTTCACACTCAATTTTCCAAGAGCCCTAGATCTAATGAACATTAAGAGAGATGACGGTTTTCTGAAACTGGTCCCCTAGCTTCCCCAGGTATAAAACAGGACACAAGTTGCCATTGTACTTTTATTCACATCGTGTTATTTTGGCATTTTCATAAAGGACGAGGAAAAGACAAGGTAGGGAAAAGACTGAGGCAGGAGGGGGGGTGTCCCATCTCCCTCAAACCCCTCCTTGCCCAACCATACATGGAGCAAACACAAACGGGGAGGGGAAGCCTGGATGCACCCTCCCTGGAAGAGGATGCATGAAGCTACACCCACCCACACACTCACACACACACACACACAAATAAGACCCCCTCCTCCACACCAGGGGTCTGGGCAAGATTACAGAGAAGCAGAGAACTGTTGATTCAAGCGGCAGGGGAAGCAACAAAGTCTCCTTACAGACAGGTGGCTGGCCCCTCCCTTCCCCTTCCCACTCTATCTCCGAAGTCTAGAGAGTGCCCCCTCCCTTTGCATGGCCATTTCCCCCTGGCCTCCAGCTTCTCTCCAGCTGCTGGGGACAAAAACACAAAGGGTACGGAGCAAGGGGACTGAGTTCCATCTCTGAAGGCCCTATCCCTCATGCCAGGTGGTCTATGCCCTGCCCCCCAGTGGTAAGGGGTGAGGAGAGGCTCTTAGCTGGCCACTCGCTGGTAGAAGTAGATGTAGCCCAGGTCCTTGGGTGGCTTCTCAGAGGCACACACTTTCTGGTCATTGTAGATTACCCATCTGGAGAAGGGATATAAAAAGATGAACATTTCCAAGTTGCATGAATTTAATCTCTAAGACACAGCCCTTGAGTTGATCCTAGTGATTCTGGGGTAAATGTCCCCAATATTCTCTTCTTGGCCCCTAATCCTGAACCTATAGTTCAGTTTATCTAAGGGTCATTGTCTCTTTGTATCTTGAGATCTTCCAGTAGCTTTTCCCCCCACTTTCCTAGTTCATTCAATGTATATTGTCCAATTTATTTACTCATTGATTTAAGGACATTAATATGGTTTCTAGCCTTTTTTTCCCCCTACTAGTTTATTTACAAAATTAAAATACCTTGTTTTCAAGAACAAATTCTTTCAATTTCTCTCACCCCCCTACCCATCAAATTGTACAAGTCCATGATTAATCCCCTCTCCTCCTGCACATCCTCATCCCTCTGCTTCCATAGATCCTCCAGTATCTTTGTAACTACTTCCCATCCACTCCTGTTAGGCAGGGGTTGTCTAGCTTTTTCTGTAAAACATAGACAGTAAATATCATGTCTTGCAAGTTACTGGTCTCTTAACACAGCTACTCAACTCTTGTTGCAACATAAAAGCAACCATAGACAATACATAATGACCAAGTGTGGCTGTATTCCAAAGAACTTTATTTATTTACAAAAACAGACAGCTATATACAGTCTGTGGGCTATAGTTTGCCAATCACTGCTAGAAGACATTTTTCCAGTGTATTTTCTGGTGTATCTGTGCCCATCATCACAAATACTCTACAGACTTCCTCCAGAATGCTCCTATTTTCACCACTACTTCGCCATTCAAAATGCACTGTCAGCCCCTCCTTACCTGCCGTCCTTCTTGATGTGGCAGACATAGTGACCACACATGGTAGAGGTGCCCATGTGACTAATGAAGGCAAAGAGCTGATACTCTAGGGAAAAGGGAAAAAGAGCAGAGAGAAAAAAAACATGTGCAAGGAATCCTTGGGTGCCAATGAAACATCCGTCTAGTAGCTCAAAGTAAGGACATGAGTTTCAGAGGCGGTGGAACATGTACTGGGCCACAAAGCTACCTCAGCCTCCCAGACACCCACCCTCAAGAAATTTCACGAACAAAGTAGCTTCTGACTCCTCTCACCCTGGGGGAAAGCAATTAGGGATTCAAGTGGGAGCTCAAGAGTGTCAGGTTGACCAGAGCTTCCCAATGCTGTCCCTTTTCCTAAGTATACTCACTTCCAGGACCATCCCGGACTTTAGGTCCCACTGGTACAGATTCGGAGATGGAGTCGGCAGCAGAGCGGCCCTCTGAGATGTCCATGGCAGCTTCGGCATCCAGGTCATCAATGTGACTGAAGATCCAGTCCACAGCCCGTTCTAAACTATTGTTCTTGGAGAGGAAGGAACTATTACTTTTCCTAACAAGTTCTGGGGCAAGAAAACCACCAGTTTAAGCTCAATTTCTTCATCACAGCAACAGAAGGGCAGAGCCCCAGCCCTGGCCATGCTATGCATTCCTACTGTCCTTGGTCTTACTCGTGAAGGACAGAATTTCGTCCTCTTTGCCTTTTCTCACTTCACAGACCCCAAATCCTTAGATGTGGCAGCCCATACCGTAGCCCGCAGAGCTTTCAAGGCTTGGTCCTGGGAGAAGCCCATGGAGACAATGGTGGTCACAGAGTCTTCTGGCGGGGGGTCAGCTGCTGCACTGGTGGAGCCAGGCCCACTGGAGCCAGGTAGGATGAGGGGGTTTGCAAAATCTGTCAGGATGTGAAGGATTAAAGAGTGTCTGTTGGGAGGTTGGGGGCCCTGCCCCACTTCACCCTGCTGTTCCAGCTTGCCAACCTGGATCGTCCATGTGTGACATGACCCAGTTCATAGCAGCCTCAGCCCCACTGTTGCCTGTGTAGTAGACAGCTTTGCGGCAAGCGTCCATCGGGAAGCCCATCTCCACCAGCTGGATGATGACAGATTCATCCAACATGGGTGCTGTGTGAGGACAGGTAGGAATTGAGGACCTAACTCCTTGGGGCACCATCTGCCCCATCTCCCTCCCACAGCGCAACCCCCAGCCCTTTTCCCAACCACTTATTCCATGCATTTTCCTCAACTTTATCCAAGAGCTAGTATGACCACATAACACAGTGTACTTCCAGTATCTTAAAGTTACAGTAGCGAGGCTATAATTTCCCATTTCTCTGCCCATTCTCACTTCCTACTCCCAACTCCCCATCCATGGAGGTAGTAGGGTTGACAGAGAATTAGCCAGCATTACTGCCATCCACATGGATATGTGGCTGGGAGTGCTCTAGTAGGCCCCAGGTCCATACAAAAGGAAAAAGGAAATTTGAAAGGGAAGACAGGAGAAACAAAGTATAGGGTCAGGGGGAGGCAAGGCAGAGAAGCCCCCCACTAGCAAGGAGACAGACAGGCAGGAAAAGTCACTAACATGTTGGAGAGGAGAAGTGAGGGGAGCAGAAGGAGTCTTCGTCTTCGTTGCCATAGAAACCAAGGCTACCTTTGGGCTCATCCGGAGTGACCAGGGGTGGGGCAATGTCAGGCAGCTCCTCCTCTCCTGGCTGCAGCCCTGTACCCCTCAACTGGGAAATGTCTAGCTCCTCTGGCATCTCAATGGACACATCTGTAATGTGAATGACAGGAAAAATGTTACCTCGAGCACCCATGAGGCCCTTTTAGAAAAATCAGTCCAGGAGATCTAACCCCTACACCATTATCTTGGAACTGCTGTTAAGTAATAAAGAGCTACTAAGAAAAGGACCCCTGATAGGGAGTTCTGGTGGCCTAGTGGCAAGAAGCTGCACTGCAACCCCAGAGGCGTGTGGTTCAAATCCACCAGATGCTATGCTGGAGAAGGAGGGCCTCCTCTATAATCAGTCCTTTTCTTTTCTCTCTCTCTCTCTCTCTGTGTGTGTGTGTGTGTGTGTTTATGTTTACTGTCAAATCACAAATCAGATCTGATTATAGAGGAGGCCCGTTGCCAACAAGAGTAATGGGGCTTGGGAGTCCGAATTGGATTCTAGTCCTAGATCTACCACAACTTTGTAGAGAATCTACAGTTTGTGCAACTGGGCGGTTTCTGTGGATCTTATCTTCCTTGCCTAGAAACTGACATTACATCAACAGTTCTCACAGCCATTAAGGATCTCTAAGAGCAATGAGAATTAAGAGTTTGGCATTCTCAGAATGAAAACATCCTACCGATTATAAAAATAAAACTACAGAAATCACATTGTGCACATCTTAATTACAAAATCAAAGAAGTCTTTTACTCTTTTTAGTCAGGGTTTTCAGACATATTTGAGAACAACTAAGACAATCTTCCACTTTCAGAAGAAAGTCTAAGAGACACTGGTTAACTTGGGTTAAAAAGCTCCTTCTGGTTCTAGCATTAACTTTTAACCTCCCTCGTCCCAGCCACCATACCCAGTTTCTTGGGCACCCAGTCTAAGCCGAAGGTGAATTTCTTGATCTGGATGACCAGGTAGTCAGGGAATGAGGCAAACCGTGTGGTCCTGAGGAAGAAAAAATGTCCTGGTACCCAAAGTCTCAGGATTCCTCTCTCCTGACACCACACCCTGAGGCTCAGCCTCTCATAGGTAGAGAACCTATCAGTTCAGAAGATACTCCACACTCTTCCCCTGGGCTGGCCTCAGTGCTTCTGCAGACAGGAGCAGTCTTGTTGACAGCACCCTTCAGACCAAGGCATTCTTTTGGATCTCAGGGCTGTGCAAAAAACATGGCTTAGCCATTTTATTTCTTTCTCTTTTTTTACTATACTAGTTTATTTACAAAATTCAAATACATTCTTTCTCATACCATTTTCTTGAAATAAAAATGTTTCACACTAAATTCCTGTGCTCTGTCATAATTGAGGGAGCGAAGAGGCTGTATTAGAAAGCAGATCCTGTGCCATGGGGGAAGGAATACAAGACCAGGATAAAGTAAAAGGTATACGATTTATACCTATGGCTACTCCTGCAAGGGCCTCTTGGTTCCCTCAGAGCCAGATTACCAGCCCCAACTGATTCAACCTGCGATATCTACCAACCGCAAGGGAATGTGAGAAAGGCAGAGACGGAGAATATCTTCTGGGATGACAGTGATGTAAGCCCACAGTCATAGACCCAGACTAATAGGACTTACTTGACAGCTACTGATTTGGCCTGCAAGGCTGTGCTCCAGAAGTCATCCATCTGCTCAGGTGCCCCGTAGGCCTCCAGGCAGGAGCTGAAGGGCACCTGGGCCCGGACCAGTTCTGGTGGTGGCAGCTTTTCCTCCTCCGCTTGCCGCTTCTTCTCCTCATACTCCTGAAGCTCCTCTAGTGGTAGAATTAACAGGTGACTCCTTCAGAAGGGGCTGTATCTTTCTTTTGTTAGCTTTGCTCTGCTGACTTTGTGTCCATGACTATTCCAGCTTTTTACATTCCCATACTCCACTAGCTATATATCTGTTCATGATCTTGTTTCTCTTTCTTAGCCCAACTTTGCTAACAAGTTGTGGAGAGGGTTAATGAGACCCATTCCCAATGGCCCAGGAAGCAGGACATACCATGGGCTGGTCCATAAAGCCAGGCGCTGCCATCTACAAGGTACACAAGTACTTCTCCCAGACTATACCGTTAACTGCTTCAAGGCCTCACTGAGAGCACAACCTACCTTTGTTTAGGGCTGTATCCATGGGAACAGGGAGCTGCATGATATAGTCAACTCGCTGGGTGTACTTAACCTTCTCCGTGGCCAGGCACTTGAGCTTTTCCTCCACCAAGAAGCGGAATGCTTCGTTGGGATTTTCAGAACTCCGGCAATTCCTCTATGGAGAAACAGGCACGGTGGGGAATTCTGGGTAGCCAGATACAGAAAGGGGGCCTAGCAGGTTCACTGGGGTCAGGGAGAGAGACGTAAAATGGAGAATGCCTCTGAGGGAATAGGAAAGCAGAAGAAGAGTAGAATAATTTAATTTCTACAAATAAACATCCTATCCTCAGTTCTGGCCCCATCAGCACGACCGTGTGACTGTGCTGAAATGCTTTTATGTTTTTCTTTATAAGCAACAGGCACTGTCATGTTACTTTCTTTGGTTGAACTGTACGAGTAGGCTGCAAGCTCATTAAGCATGAGGATCAGTGCCTGTCGTCTTTTATTATTCTCCTCAGGTGCAAATGCTACTCACGGGGCGGGCTCAGTGCATGCAGACTCTCTGGGGACAAGCATCAGCCTGGGTTAGGGTCAAAAGAAAAGAACGAGTAGAGGGGAAGGGCCTGAAGTGGACATGAGTGGAAGGAATGTGTAGCAATTCTCCCTTTTGTCCTTACCTCCACCATGTTGATAAGGTGAAGGAAGAACTCCTGGGCATCCTGCTGTCGGTTGGTGGAGAACTCAGGGTGACCCTTGCCAATGAGGGCTTTGAACATCCGAGGGGCAATGCCATCCTGAATTTCCTAGGCAGAGCAAGGGCAAGGACTCAGCAGGGCTTAACAACCCTGGACTTTTTATACAATCAATACCTCAGTTTCTTGGAAAAGGAGTAGAGTCCCAGACTCACTTTTTGTTCAGGTACCTGCTCCCCATCGCCTATATCCAGCACTGGCTTGGAATACTCTCCAGAGAGAAGGCCATGGCCCAACTTGGCTCTGTAACATCCAAGGGAACTATTTGGCTTTAGTTAACTAATGATCCCCTAACATCTATCTGTACCTTCCCCCTGGTAACTTCTCACTCCCTTCTCATGGCTGAGCTTAGATAACGCTCTGTGAAAATGATTTCATTTCACAAGAACCAACCCAGGTCAAGACAGACAGCATGTCCAGAACGCAGTAACCGGGAAGTGTGTAAATGGTTACGGCCAAATTGTTCCCAATCCCAGGTGGTTATGGAGGAATGAACGGATAGTGGCTGTGAGACACCTGACAGCCTTTGCTGAGCGGGCCTGGCTACTTACACCTGGGTGCTGAAGTCCTGGGTAGGGTCTGAGGGGGCATTCTGGAAGATCCTCTCCAGCTTATCTACATACCTAAGAACCAAGGGAAGATAAATGGAATCGCTTCAACCTGAGATCAGAAGAAAAGAGTAGGGAGCAGTCATCTACTAACTCAGAGAACAAACCCTCCAGAGTCAGGAGTTATGAAGCTGGGAGACCACATCTCTCCAGCGACCTGCTCTTTCTCCCCTTCCCAACTATGCCAGTGTGCAGTGTATTCTGAGGCATTCTTTTCTAACTCTTCCCCAACACAGACATGTGGAAGGGAGAAGGTAGCCTGGGTCTTTAGAATACAGTTAAGATTCTATTGAAAGAGCTTGTTGATACATTCTAAGTTTTCACAAATGTGTCAGAAGCCTCTCAATAGTAAAATTTGCCTTTGTAGCTTAGAGTCCCAAACCCTTCTTCTACCCAAGTGCTACCTGTCTGCATTAAGTATGCATCCAATGCCACTAGCCTAAAATAAAGACCACCTGCTACCTCTCGAATCAGGAAGTGTGGAGAGCCCAGGGATTTGATGTTCTCGATCAGTGGGTATATGGATGGTTGTGATAAGAGCTGCTGTCTTCACAGCATGCCAGCCACAGTGTAACAAAAACTGTTCCAAGACTGGGATAAAAAGCAGCGGTGTTGAGGGCAGGTGAGAAGATGAGCACATCCAGCCTGGAGAACAGGACAGCTGAGGGGTTAGGAGTGGAGAGTCAAAAAGGTCATAATTGAGGAGAGGGATCACTCACTTCCTCTGGAAGTCAGGGATGCTGAAGAGCACCTGGACCACGGAGTTGAGGTAGCAGCTGTTACCGAGGTTCCGGATGCCTGTGTAGCCAGGCCCAAATAGGGGCTTAAGTGGCACACCCGACTCCTGGATCAACTCCCATTCACCAATTCGCTGGTTCATGTCTATCTCCAGCTCAGTCATTGTCTTGTCTGTCTGCATAAAAAAGGGCGCTTTAAGATTAGGCAAGACAATCAATTCTTCCTTTTTTACACTGACCTCTCACAGAGTGCAGTGTGATATCCAGCTAGAGGCTAGAATTTGTTGAATTATGCCTCAAACATGGGAAGCACTATAGATATCATTCAGTCCAGGACACAGACAATCTTCTCAGAAGCCCATTAGGCTCTGCTCAAATGAGGGAATGAAACAAGTACAATGGACTTCATCACTGCTAGTGGAAATGGTCTTCTCATCTAAAGTTACTTATCTGAAGTTACTACTGCTCAGCTTTCAAGTTCAAATACAAATACCACACTCTCAGGGCAATTTCCCCAATACCCTAGGCTAGACCAGGTCCTATTGCTATGGAGTGCCACTGTAGCACTCTCTACATTTCTTTCTCACAGCACTCATCAGTTTGTGATTACTCATTTGTTTGGGCTGAGTATCTGATGTCTGGATTCCCCTCCAGAATATAAGTCTAAGAAAGCAAGAACTACTACCTGTCAAAGTCACCTAGTGACTGCCACAACATAGATATTAAGCAAGCAATCACTAGAAGATTAAATGATTCTTGAGAGATTTTCAAAGAAAGCCCACTTATCTTGGTGACTGGTTAACTGTAGTGGCTCTTTGCAAAACCCTTCCCACAGTTAAGGAAGCAGGAGCTTCACAGGATCAGGGATTAGAGTCTGAAGTCAGGGGAATCTCACCTTCTGCATCTTCAGCATGTCAATGCCAAAGTGGGACAGGTGTTCAGCTAGGTTGGGGTCCAGGACCATGTCATCCTCTTCATATGAGTACACATCTAAGGCAGGAGGTAGGAACAGTGTCAGAGGTGGGGGCACAAGACTATCTTGGTCACCAATCCCACTCCCTACCCGCAAGAGGCTTTGTGCCCTGGTACAGAGAGATTGGTCTAGAACTCTCCAGAGTATCAATGAGGTCACAAGCCCTTTTGGGTTGGTTATCAGTGAAGATGGGGTCAAAGTCTGAGGGCTGGAATTAATTTTTATTCTAGAGCAAAAGATAAATTTGGAAAGGTATTAATGAAACAAATAATGATAATTACCTCCAAGAAAGGAACTAGGATCAAGGGGTTAATTGAAGATTCAGACTCACTGCTATATTCTCATCTTTCATCAAGACAATGTAGTTATGTACTACTCAGGTGATACAAAAATAATGGAAAAGGAAAACATGAAAAAGTAGGTGAGGGAAAAACAAATCATACCAGCTCCATCAGGTGTGATGGTGCCCAGCTTAACAGCCAATGGGTAGCCTGTCTCTCTGTAGTGTTCCACGGCGTGGTTGTTACCCCCACTGCCATCAAAGTAGCGTCGGCCACAGAGGATGGCACCATCTGTCAGGTTGAGCCATAAGTTTTCTTTCATGTCACACTTGGAGCACTTCCAGCCACTGACCAAGGGAAAGAGAATTAGCTAAAATGTAAGAGAAGGTTTTGGGGATAGCAAAGAAATGGGACTCTGGAGGAATTCCACAAGTTCTAAGAGCCCTCCCACCTCCTCGCCTATGAATGTGCCTCTACTTTGTTCACCCAAGTCTCCCTCTGGGTTCTCTCTCCCACCAGATTCGCCGGGAGGGTGGCCTCCTGGCCCTTGCCCTGAGAGTTGTGCTCAAAGGTGGAAGGGCCAGGTCTCACCAGGGAGGGATTCGAGCAGGGTTGTCCAGCTGCTTAAGATTGAAGGCGTGCTTAGACACCTGCCGCACTTCCCCATCCCAGGCCTGCACCTCTTGTTTGTGGGAGGCAGAATCCGCTGACAGTAGAGCTTCAACTGCACTGGTCACCTGGGGGAAAGCAGAGGGTCAGAGACAGCCCTTGCTCCACTAACCCTCTCCCTGTTTTTAATTCAGCTTTGGTAGAGTGTGAAGGTATTCATACCCGATCTCTGACAAGGTCAGGCAGTCCTCCCAACCCATCCCGGGCAATCTCTAGGTAATCTGGCAAAATTATAATCTTTACATCCTCATCATATTCAAACTTCTCCTTGGTGAGATCAAAACCGCCTTCCATACCTGGTGGAGTAAGGAGGAAGAGAAAGAGTAGGGCAACTCCCAAAGGGAAATGTGCCTTCTCTGAAATGTCACTTTACTTTGTCCATTTCAGAGCGTTAGGACCACAGATCAGGTCCATTTCGGGGGAGTTGCTTGGTGCCTCTAAGAAGAGGAAAGACTACCTTAAGGAGAAGATTAAAACTTCAGTGGTACTCACCAATAGCCAGCCGTGTGGGCTTCTTACGCGGGGGGTCACCAGTGCCTGTAGTGGGGTCCTCCTCTTTCTGCAATGAGGCAGAAAGAGCAGGACTGGCAATGGGTACCAGGTACCAAGGAAGGGGAAAAAAATCAAGAGGACAGATGGGGTAGGTTAATCTGGGAAAAGACTGCAGCCAACAAAAAAAAATAGTTGAGCTGAGTTTGTGAGAGTGTATGAAATACATAACAAAACGTTTGCCATTTCAACAATTGTTCATATGCACAGGTCAGTGATATTACATCATCCTGTTAAACCAGCATGCTTATTTGTTCCCAAAGTTTTCTGTGGGTTTTTTGCTGAATTAATTAATGACAAAAATTAAGAAAGGGGGGAAGGGAAACAACAAACAAGAAAGGGGAAATTTGAAGCCAACAGTCAGAATGGAACAGATATTCAAAATAAGTGCCCTGTGGAATGTGTTCGAGCTCCACTCCTTGCCCCTACCAGGCGCCGGATCCGTCGGAGATGCAGATAGACACGCTGGCCCGTCTTATTGTAGTGTCTCTCCACATACTGCTTCCCGAAACCCAGGAATGTGTTCATACAGATGTAAAGGCCACCTTCAGACTCCTACAGGGCAAGAGGCAGAAGAAAAAAGAGAGGAGGATGAAGTCTGGCCAGGTAGGGAAATGCCTGGCTTCTGAAGGGAAAGTTCTATCCTTCAATATAGTGTGCCCTTAGCAAATTATTTAAGCCTTTGGAACCTGGTTTCTGGCTAAGATTCTCCTTGGTTTCCTCCTATGACTTTGTAAAGAACCAATAAGGACACCAAGGGACTGAGTAAAACCTATCAGTTATCATTCCATTCATCTTTCCTCTTGTTCCTTCTTTGGCCATTAGAGCCCTCAGATTGATTGCCTTCTCTCCCCTTTATCCTGGAGCCAAAAGATAAAAAAATAAATGGGGCTCTAATATGCAGACATCCAATATCAAGAGTTACATTCAGAGGGGAAAGGGTACTTTCTTGGGATTGGAAATATTAGCATGTCAGATGCTAAACCCAAATCACTCAAACATTCATTGTCCTCAAGTAGGAACCAACTCACAGCTGACATTCTAGCAGATTCCCGAGGCTATAAATTACATGGTAAGAGACTTCCCATCTTTCATCCCTTTGAGCTGCTGGTGGATTCGAACCACCAAACCAGGGTAGTCTTTTGGTTAGTAGAACAACTGCCTGGGTACTACACCAGAGCTCCCTAAACCCAAGCCAAGGACACTTAAAACAAACACTACCCTCTCTCTATGATAAGGAGTAAACTACGTACAGTATCTCAATGGGACACTTGACCCCTAAGCTCCCTAGAAATCAAGACCTTTCCTTTAACACATTCTACTAAGTGTCAGATTGGTCCAACTCGTGAGCTTTCTCCCTTCTCTCTTATTGAAGCCTGGTTCCAATATCCTGTTAGGGGTTAATAGCTTAACTCTGACCAGTCTGATAAGGACATCAGTCCAACACTGTCCAGTCACTATCCTGGTTCCCCCATCCCTCTGAGCAGTAACTATACCTATGCTGAAATGCCATCTACCCTCAAACTCAAAGCCATCTCTTTCCTAGAACAATCTAGCAACACTTACTGAGACAGCTAGAGCATGTACAATCTGAGGAAAATATAAGGAAAGGCGAATTTCTACCCCGAATCACAGCTGTGGAAGGAGGGTCAACTTCCAAGGTTGGAAAAGTTCACTAGGACCTTTGTGAACAGAGGAATAGAGAAGGTAGAGAATACTGGAAACAGTATCCATCTTCCCTCGGATCCAAGGCTTTGAGCAAAAAATAGACATATTTTTCCTGAATAAAAGCTGGCCTTGAAAAATTCTGTGCTGTGATATTAAAAATAGGACACCGCTTAAGGCAACTTGTGGTCCATAGATTGCTCTGTATCACTCCCTAGAACAGTGTTTACGGCAGTGTTCATGTACAGAGCAATTGCCACTACCAAGGAAGTCACCGTCTACCATGAGCCCAATCTGAAGATAATCAAATATCCCAGAAGAAGGATAATGAAGCAAGTAGGTCACACAGTAGACCTCCTGACTTGGAATAGGAGAAAAATCTCAAAAGATGAGAAAAATTTCTTTTGGATTATTCAAATCAGTTAGTGAGAGAGAGAGAGAGAGAGAGAGAGAGGGAGGGAGGGAGGGAGAATGCTTTAGTGAAGAGAAGTTTAAGGAGAGGCCTTCTAATTTTTATTACATGCTGAGAATGAAGAAAAGTCCTTCTCTCCTTAGGAAGATGGTGCTTCATCAAAACATGCATTACCAAAACTGGGAGGAGGAAATGTGGGAACTCTGCAGTGATTAAACTCTGTTAAAATTAAAAGAAGCTGATTTCGCCAAGGACCAGGAACCTTGGAGCTCAGCTCTGAGAAATTCTTTTACCTTTGCCAAAACTAGACTTCAGAGAAGGAGCATATTATCTGAAGGCCACATCAAAGCCTAGCAAATCATGCAAACTACAAATCACAGTGAAGATGAACTTAGATCATCTTAGATCATGTTGCTATGCTCAGCCCTGGTGATGCATTAATGAAGCCTTTCTACTCTGACTTGCAGTTTTCCAACCATGAGCTGGTCTGGCTAAACACCCTGGGCAGGGCCCAGCAGCTGGCTTGAAGGGAGGGGTGGTGAGGGGGGCGGGTCCCAACCAGCCTGCTGCCTTCTCTGTTCAGGCTAAGGCCTAGCTGAAAGCCTGCCTTTGCTTAAAGTTAACATAGGAAGGTAGGACTGCAGGAAGGGAGGCATAGGGTGGAGCTTGAAAAACGCGAAGCACGGTGTGGGTGGTGGTTTTGTCTAACTAGTCAAGTAGAAGTCTGTATGGGCTGACTTCTTAGTATCCATCAAGGGGGAAAAAAAAACCCTATTATTCTGGAATACCTTAAATGAGATTCCCTTTTCCTATGATGAGTGGAAAAAAGGGACGGAGCTTCAATCATAGTTCACCTCAAAGGAGAAATGACGAGTGCTTTCCTCTTTCTCATTACCATCACTGACCCACCTCCCCGCCCCCTGCCCATAGTAACCATAGGTGGACGGCTCCAACTAGGCCTTAAAAATCGATCTGATTTCTTAGCTTCTTCTAGAGTACTAACGGTTTAGAAACCGCAGTCCGCACCACCTCCCAGCTCTAACAGTGGGCCAGAATAGTGGGGGATCGCCCCCATGCCTCCCACATGAAACTACAAAACCCGGGGAGCCATGCTCAACAAGCACGGGCAACTCCCAAGATTTCGCAAAGGCGCACTTGGGGTTTGTAGTCCGACGGTCGAGTTGCGTCCCTAGCTTAGAACGGCAGCGAGGGGAGTGAGCGACTACAATTCCCAGAGTGCTCCACGAAGTAGAGAGTAGCCTTGGAGAGCGCGGTAATGTCCGGGGGTGGTAGTCGCAGCACAGTTCTGGCTAATGAAAAGCTACGGCAGTGAAGAGCGTGGGAAACTCTATGTCCCAAGATGCACCGCAGGGAGGCGGTAGCGCAAGCCTTGCAGGCCCTGGCCGAATGACCAGGGCGATGGAAGGAAGTCGTGCTTGCTGCGGGCGTGGGGAATGGGCTTACCGGTGTGTCGAAGGAGAAGGCACATTCGTCTTTATGGACCCGGTCTCCAGCCTTAGGGACCCGGATCGTCGGTAATACTGACAGCAGCGCCTCCTCACTCAGTTCCGCCATGACACCGGCAGCAGCTCTTCCACACAGCGACTCCCACCGTTCCTAGTCCCCCACCCCCTACTCGTCCCGTCCAATGAGCACTACTCGTTAGGTGCATGCGCTAAAGGGAAGACGCGCGAGAACGGCAGTTGGGCGGAGTCTATCTACTAGTGCTCAGCCGTCTGTCCTACTCTTTGACCAAAGCCAGTAAGAAGTGCTTCCAACACAATTGATAGGAAAAAGAACCAATCCCATTTTTCTAAGGCATGTGCAAACATAAAGTAGCCCGGCAGGTCCTGAGTATTTGACTGCAAAGACTCAGACTCATAGTGTCTTTTCCCTTCCCTTCTATTGAAGAGTAGAAACTGACAGACGTTTAAGCCAATCAATCCCAAAAACTTTCCTGGAACTTCCAATAAGAAAAGATTAGGGCACTTTTCTTAGTGTTTGGGGGGGGGGGAAGGCTACCTGATAAGGTAAAGTTTGAGAGGGTTCGTGTCGATCAATTTTACTTATAACGATTACTATCCATCTTGCCTCAAGACAAGACCATCATAAGTCCATCTCTTGCGTGACTTTGTATATAATAGGGTTCATGATTTTTTTGTTAATAAAATAATTTGTGTTTGGAGATTTCAAAAGCAAAAGATTGCCCTCAAAGTCTCAAAATCCCACGCTGAACGAAAAGTCCCGTTATCAAGAAGGCGTCACCCTGGGGGCGGGTGTGGCAAACCGAATTTCTACCCATTGGCCCCAGAGCTTCCCTGATCGACGTCCACCCAACCCAATCACTACACAGCGTGCCTAACAGTGCCAACGTCAGCCCAGCCAATAGGATCAAGGCAGGGGGCGTGGCGGGAAGTTTGAAACTCAGCTTCGGGAGTTGGAGTTCGCGTTCTTGTGGAATTAGGGTGGCTTTGGGGTCCGGTAAGTGATTTGATTAACTTAGAGGCTCCAGGAAGCTCCGTATGGGCCCTCTTGTGAACTGTACTATCCTTTATTCCTGCAGAGGCCTTTGAGCGGCTGGAAGGTCTCTAACTTTGAATGTGGAGTCAAAAGTGTAATGGTCGCGGTAAGGACTGAGACTTGAGTTGCTTCTCGCAGGCATCTTCCCTCTCTCCAGACCGGGCCCTTCCCTATCCTAATTTTCCTGGTAAAGATGGGATTGGGCAAGAGCCTCCCGGTCACTCCAGCGCGGCCTCCGCCGCACAACAAGCATCTGGCGCGAGTGGCGGACCCCCGTTCCCCTAGTGCCGGCATCTTGCGCACTCCTATCCAGGTACTCCGGGCCGGGTGTGGGGGAGCAGAGAAGCAAAGTCTTGGGCCTCAGCCTCACTTCTGAGAGAGCCTTCATTCCCTCTATCATTTCTAACTTAAGACTTTCCACATTCTCAGTCTCTGTGGGGTTGGCTGATGTCGGGCAATTCTTGTCTGAAATATTGGACTGAGACTGGGGACCTGAGGGAAAGAGAGAGTCATGGCCCAGACTTGAAGCCTGTGGTCCTCACAGGTGGAGAGCTCTCCGCAACCAAGTCTACCGTCAGGGAAACAGTTGGAGGATCCCAGTCAAATCCAGGACTCTGATCCCCGCTCTCCTACCCTTGGCATTGCACGCACACCTATGAAGACCAGCACCAGCGGTATGTGTGGGGCCCAAAGAGTGCCCCATCGTCCTGCTTTGGAGTCCCGTCACGCTTTTCTCAACACTTTGCACCCTCTCCCTAGTTTTCTTCCCCACCTGGGCACCAATCTCCTGTGTTCTTTCCTCTTTGCTGTATCAGAGGGTCACTGACTCACTTTATTTCCTCCCTGTAGAACCTCCAAGCCCACTGGCAGTGCTTCTGAATGAAGTATTGGACACCGAAACACCCAGATCAAATCTTCCCCCAGAAGCCATTCTGCCCCTGGAAACACCTTTATCATCTGAACTGGACTTGCCTCTGGGCACCCAATTATCCCTTGAGGATCAGATGCCACCTCTGAGCCAAACTGAGCACCCCTCCAAACAGGCATTTTCCAAGGAAGAAGCAGGACACTCTACAGAAATCCCTGTGGCCAGCCAGGACTCAGACAAGCCGATGAGAGACCCTGAGACTCCTCGATCTTCAGGTACAGAATCTAAGAGCAAAGTGTAGGGTATAGAAACTAGGAAAACATTATAGGTTAATGTCCAAGGATGAACATGAGGAAACAGTTGAAAATATTTTTAACTTGGGGACCTTAATTTATCTCTTTACACACACTAGGTTCTAAGCATAATAGACGAAAGGCTAATGGCAAGGTACTAGTGAGATCCCCCCTCACCATCCTTCAGGATGACAACTCCCCCGGGACCGTGACACTACGACAGGTAAGGGAGAGAGGAGGAGAAGAGTTAATTAGGAAATAGAACCCAAAGAACGGAAGCCCTTTCACCTGTCTCTTCACACTCACACACTGCCTTTTTCAGGGTAAGCGGCCTTCTTCCCTGAGTGAAAATGTTAGGGAACTAAATGAAGGGGCCATCCTGGGAACTGGACGACTTCTGAAAACTGGAGGAAGATCTTGGGAGCAAGGTCGGGGTCATGACAAGGAAAATCAGCACTTTCCCTTGGTCGAGAACTAAGCCCTGCTTGGCCGCAGCACTGGAGTCCCTGAGGACCTAGTGATGTCCTATGTCCTCATCCCTTGTTTCCTGGGGACACAGTGATGGCTTATTTTCTTTGACATCCCCTAAACTACCAACTCTGCCTCCGAGAGCTTAATTAAGCTTTCTTTGTCTCTTGTATTTTTCTTGTATATTAAAGGAAGTGATTTGAAGTGTTTTTAAAAGTTGTACTTAAATTTTGTGCTGGGTCTTCTATATGCAGTGTGGAAAGCTGGAAAGCTTGTGTTTCCTGCCATTAGTGATCTCCTGCTGGCAGTACCAATAGAGTAAATAAGGCAGAAGTCTCCTCCCTTCTATCCTAGAGTTCAGTTCTACTCCTGTTTTCTCCAAGTGTTCAATTTGATACCTTTACCTATCACTTCTCTCTATTCTAGCTAATGCCCAAGTCTCCCTTGACTTTTGTCCAGCTACCCAATAAACACTTCAAAGTTTGTCTAAAATTGATCTTTATTATCTTATTTCACATCACTCTCCCCTACGCTACTCCATATCCCTTATTCCCTCCTCTAGTGAATATCAGCTTTATCTGCTTGACCATCATTTGCAATCCTTCGCTCTCAATATCCCATATCCTAGTACTTGATCATTAAATCTAAATGACTTTAATAGCCTTACTTTCATTCCGATTCCTCTCTTTCCCTTCTATCCTTAACACTTGTATTTCTTGCCACTTGCCCCTATCTTGGCACTAGCTCCCCTCCTTCCAATTCATCAACTTGCTACTGAGGCTATCTTTCAGAAATGAACTTTCATTACTGTCATAAGTGATCATAGTATTGTTGTTGCTGTTGTTATGTGCCGTTGTGTCATCTGCAACTCATAGCAACCCTGTGTACAACAACAGCCCTAAACCCTGCTCTATCCTGTGCCAATCTCATTATCTCTGACACACCTACCCCCATTACTCCAGTCACTGAATCAATCCATCTTATTGAGGGTCTTCCTCTCCTGCACTGTCCCTCCAACCTCCCAAGCATGACGTCCCTCACCAAGGACTGGTCCCTCCTTGCAATATGTCTAAATTAAAAATCTTCAGTGACTCCCTACTACCTTTAGGATTAAGTCTAAATTCTTTAGCCTGGCATTTAAGACCCTTTGTAATTTGACTTCTGGGCATAACTGTTCAAACACATACATATATACCATAGGCAGACTGTAGTGATCAGTTACAGTTACCTAATAAATACACAGCTACCTAATAAATACTTTCAGTCCCTGCCTTGTCTCAGGCTTCCCCAGTTGAACGCTTGACCTCTGCCTCCACTCCTCTCTATCTATCAGCTGCTCAGTACCAGTCTTTCTCATTGCACCTGTAATCCTTGATTGTATGTACCTCAATGCCTGTTTGCTGTCTTCTCTAGGTCCTTGAGAGCCTAGCACAGCGCCTCTCATTGATAGACTTTTAACATTTACTGACTGAGTGACAAAGTAGAGGCTCAGTTCTAGGCTTATAGGGTAGACAACTTCCATTTCTTGCTCTCTCATGATTATTACTTTTGAGAATTATTTTTCTTACCCACTCTGCCTTGTAGCCCTAATCCTGTTACTTAGTGCTGTTTCAACTGGGCTTTATTTGCAGACAAACACATATGTGGTTACTGCCCTAACACCCTCATACCTCAGGGAGAAGGGGCCTTTCCTCTCCAGGTTTTCTCTAGGGGAGTTTAGAACTGCAATGAGGTTCCAGAATTTCAAATCTCTAGTCTCTGGAAAGGAGAGGCTTCAGACTTAGGTCCCAAGTGTCCTTGGTGAGAGGGTAGGGGGTGCTTCTTACTAAAAGTGAAGAAAAGGAAATGGGATTCAGGTGTTTAGAGGAATAGCTGAGTGGGAGGGGTGAAGCCAAACATTACAGACATACCATAGTGGTGCACTTTATTACAGGTGTTGTAGGAGAGAAAGAGAAAAAAAAAATAAAAATGGGAAAAAGCATAGCCTCTAATGGTGCCAAACTATAGTCATGAAGTCAGAGTTACAGACACAGGCTTGGTAATGTATCTAGATATTCCACCTAACTCTGGGCATGGTAATGGCTGTAGGGATTCTAGGGCTTGAGGCCTTTACTTTGCTAGTCTGCAAAAGGCTACGGAGGGGTCAGTTGTCCTTGCTGAGTAAGGGGAGACTGTTGGGCCATGGGAGGAGGTGTCTCTTTCCCTGATGCTGCCTCCCAAAGGCACACTCCCCACACTCCTCATTGCCTGAAAGAAAGTTTAATGGGAATGGCAGCTGGAATACAGAAGAGAAAACCTCAAAGATAGTGGGTTAGAGATGAATGTCTTCATGGCCTTCTGCCTCCTCTTCTCCAACCTCTTTAGTTCCAAATCTTGAGGAAGCTGTCCCAGGAACCAGTGGCCATAGCCATTCCATCAGCTGTGATCCCCAGGCAGCTGACCCTGTTGTCATGGCCAGAAAGGATGCCTGAAGAAGAGGGAAGGGAGTCAGTTTGCCTTTCCACAGTGCTTTGGAAGGGAGGGAGGGAGGGGAGAGAGATTTTGTGTGTGTGTGTGTGTGTGTGTGTGTGTGTGTGTGTGTTCCTATGTTCGTAGGATAGGCAATGGGCTCTTTAGCTCTTGGATAAGACTGAAGAGGATTACCCTAAGAGATTTCATTGAGGCCAGTCTCTCAAGGACTTGGGATAGGAGGGGGCAGGGACCAATAGCAGGGAGGGACAGGGAAGGGCAGGGTGGTATCCTATGCCATAATGGGTGTTGGGAAATAGGGAATCCAACTCTAATCCTATCCCCTGTTTCCAGATGAGGAAACTGAAGCCCAGAGACCTAATCTCAGGGCACTCAGAAAATGAACTAGGATTTGGATCCTGATTGTGTTTTCATTCAGCATCTATCCTCTCTCAAGAGAAGCAGCTACACTACCTTATTAATCCTTCTCAGGATGGTCCAAGATATGCCCCTAAGTTGTGGTTGGGACTTCAGGTCACTCCAAATCACTAAAAACCAAACCCACTACTGTGGAGTTAATGCCAACTAATTGCAACCCTATAAAACAGTGTAGAACTGCCCCACTAGGACATAAGTGGACTTCTTTGTCTTTCTACAGCAGAGGGATCGGTGATCGGTGAGTTCCAACTGTGAACCTTTTGGTTAACAGTAGAATGCTGTTACTGTTCACCTCAGATGTCCTTCATTCTGCTCTTTTCCCTAGTTCCCCAAGCCTTCATTTTGGCTGCATTTCTCTGAAACCTCAATAACCTTGAACAGTCAAGGTCCAAAGAGTTGGGAATGCCTTTTTTTGTCAGTGGCAGGTCTGGCTATTGGATGGGGGAAAGAGGGTTTAGAGTAACTATTCTTTGAGGGAAGATGGTCACAGATTGGGAGCCAAGAATACTGGATTCTTGGGTTAGAGAATAGAGTAATCCAGCAATTAAGGGACAGCAGTAAGCAAGTCTCAACAAGGGGAGCTGGTGTGGGTACAGAAAGTAAGAGTTCCTCCAGCTGAGGTGACAGTAGGTGGATCCAGCTCTTACCCACACGTTCTCCCTTCATGGAATCCCAGACATTGCAGTTGAAGTCATCATAGCCTGCGAAAAGCAGGCGGCCACTGAGGGAGAAGGCCACAGATGTAATGCCACAGATGATGCTTTCATGGGAGTAGGCAGTCAGCTCCTGGTCTGCCCTCAGATCGAAGAGGCGGCAGGATGCATCGTCTGAGCCTGTGCAGATGGCCTCTCCATTGGGGAAGAACTAAAGATGCAAGGGGTTAGAGTTCAGACCCAGAGTGGCTCTCTTACGCACTCCTCATCTTCTACCCTGTGACTGCTCCAGGGCAAGCTGCTTCCCTTAGCCTCTTTGCCTGCCCAGTCCCCAACACAGGATGAGGAGCACCCACTACATTGCATCATATTCTCTGTTACCATTTAGCACAAGCCAGATGCACGCCTGTGGCTTCCCCTACATCCTCATTTGCTTCTCACTACACATCGCAGGCAGACATCAACTCCCTGTGGCAAGTGAGAGCAAGCTTGGCAGCTTACCCAGCTAGGATCATGTGGCTCCACCACTTCACATGTGGGGCTGGATCAGGGCCAGGTAAAGATGCAAAACCTGAATCTCATCATGATAAGCTCATGATACACATCGGATAAGCTCAGATAGAGGGAAAGTCTACATAAAACTGCTTTCTACTCTTTAAGAATGTCAGGGTTCTAGTGGCAAGGAGCTGCAACTACAATCCCAGAGGCACACAGTTCGAATCCACCAGATGCTCTGCCGGGAAAAGGAGGAACAATCTCCTCCTGTACCAGTCAGATCAGATTTGAAGGTACTCTCACAAAAATAAAAAAAAAAAAGAATGTCAGGGTTAAGAAAGGCCAGCGTTGGTTTTGACTTGATGGTATGTAACAGCAACAAAAGGATATTACTGAGATAATGGGTGAAATTTTAATATAGACTGTAGATTAGCATGTTGTTGTTGTTATATACCATTGAGTCAGAACTGACCTTCCAGTGGATTTTCAGAAGCTATAAATTGCATGGTAGGAGACTGTTCATCTTTCTCCCAAGGAGCAGCTAGTGGATTTGAACTGTGTGCCTCTGGGTTGGCAGCACAACTCTTTACCCATAAGGCCACCAGAGCTGTAGATTAGCATATTAAAATTATACCACTTAAATTTCTTGACTTTAAGAATTATACTGTGACTATGGAAGAATTATACTGTGACTTTAAGAATTATACTATGACTATTCAAGGAAAATACACACCAAGGTACTCAAGGGATAATAAGGCATGATGTCTGTAACTTTCAAAATATCTGGGGGCGGGGGGCGGAATCTATACTTATAGGTATGTATCTATCTCTACAGAGAGAGGATAATAAAATTAACATGATAAACATTAACTGATAGTAAATGCTAACTCTAGGCCAAGGGTATATAGAAATTCTTACTGGATTTTATCCACCCAAAATAAGATGCAATTATTTCACAGTAAAAAGCACAGGGCTCTGGGGAAGTGAGGCAAGGCATCCTGGGGAATTGGAGCAGGGAGGGGAACTCACGCAGATGGCGTTGATATCTGACTCGTGGCCCGTGAAAGTCTGACGGCAAGTCCCTTCCCGTACATCCCAGAGCTTGGCACTGGCATCACAGGCCCCCGAGATGAAGAGTTTGAAGTCAGGAGAGACAGCCAGGCTCATGCAGTCACCCGTGTGTCCCACAAACACAGTCTTCTGCTGCCCGGTTTCAATATCCCATAGGGCACTGTCAGGAAGGAGGAAGGCCATCACACAGAAAGACCACACTTGCACCAGGACAGGGCTGCCTCCCAAGCCCCAGCACCCACAGCATCAGTCCTCTCCTCACCACGTGGTGTCCCCAGAACTGGTCACAATGTTGTTGTCATCTAGGAAGCGGCAGCAGGAGAGATAACCTAGGGGATGGTTAAAGGGGCCCTGGCTGCAGAGCTGCAATCCACCAGAGGCGTGGGGCTCCCCAGGGCCCTGGTCAGGAAGAGAAGCTCTGCTCACCTGTGTGGGCAGACAGCTCCCGGCTGACCTTGACATTGCCCTCACGGGATTTGAGGCTGTAGATGGAGCACATGTTGTCTAGCCCCCCACATGCCACAAAGTTCCCTGATGGGGCATAGGCACAGGTCATGACCCAGGAGGAGCGCAGTGGGATAGCATGCACCTGCAAGGAAAGTGGGTTTGGGCAGAGGAGGAACTGACCTGAGCTTTCAAGTGGAAAAAGGGAAAGAGCAGGAATAATGTTCCCAGGAAGGATTCAGTGGTTAGAGAGGCAGTGGTGGTACCTTATTGGTGGTGTAGGTGTCCCACACAATCAGCTTCCCATCTTGTGAGGCACTTACTAGCAGCCTAGAGAAAGGGTACTCATGTCACTCCAGCATATCCTTTCTACCTTCCCTTCCTCTCTGGGCCCTCTTAAGCCTCACTTGGAGTCAGTGGCCCAGTGCATGGCATAGATCTTGGCCAGATGTCCCCTTAGCGTCCTCCGGGTCCTCATCTGTACTCTTCCCACGACTTCTAGGCCAGACACCAGCTACAGAGAAAGAAGCAGCAGAAATCAAGTAAACAGTGGATGTGTCCAGATCTGTGTCACAGCCACTGATTTGTACAAGCGTCTCTCTGTGTCAGGCTGTACGTGAGGCTCCCAACCTCAGAGAAATAAGTCCTAGGCCTGGAGTAGGATAGTGTAGCACCAGTGGTGTGTGGATAAGTGCTGAAACAGCCCCTCCTCCAGCAGAGGGAGAGGGAAGAGGAAGAAGAAGAGTTGGGTGAGTGATTTCATGATGTAAATACTGCCAGCTTCAGTTTGCCAATATAAGGCCACTGGGCATGGACTTCACATGAGACACACACAACGGGGTCTCTCTCAGGCTCACCCCTGTAAGGCTGCCAACTTTTCCACTGATCCCCAGTGCTTCACCATGACTTGACTGCATCTCTAGAACTTGTCCTTTGTCCTATAAACCTCAACAGCTTTTATATTTAAGCTGAAACTCTAGCCAGAGCCAATAGACTTGGCTTGCTCTTTTTGTGAGAAAGGTATTTCTCAACCCTTCTAAGCCTATTTCCTCATCTGCAAATTGAGGCTTATAGCACCTACATCATAGGCCCATCATGACAATTAAATGAGATTAAGCAATTTAATGGAGTGTCTGGCTGAAGGTGGCATATATTCAGTAAATATTGTTCCCATTATTGACATATTTCATCCACTCTAAGATAACATCAAATTTAAGAAGCACCATTACTTTACATATCATTGAGAAAGATAAAAACTGCTGCCATTCTAAGGTACAATCTATTGTTGGATCCATCTTGATATCCAAATGTGAACAAATGAGTATCTTAGAACAGATGAAATACTGCACTGACATCTATTAGCACTAGTGTCTAGAGGGCTTTGTGATTTACAAAGTACCTTAATCACTCTCTTCATCCTCGTGATCCTGCTGAGGTGGAACCACTCATTTTATTGAGAGAATAGAGCATTTACTACAGTATCTGGTCTAGAGGAGCTCTCACTAGATGTCTGTTGAATGGATTAATCAATGTCATTCCTCATTCTGAAAACACACTAACTGAAGTTTGGTACGTAGTTGTTGCTGGTTAAAGAGTTCCCATCCCTCCCTCATATGAGGCCTTCCAGGGGACCAATCTCACCTCTGCCAAAGTAGTATCAGCACAAGCTTTCCTGGCATCCTAGAGGAGAGCAAATGTCAGGGGCAGGTAAAGGTAGGGTAGGGGCCTCTGAGATAGGTGGGCTTGAGGCTCTGACTTTGAGCAAATCTACAGTGTGAGATCCATGTTCAAGAAGCCTCTGATCATAGCTAGATTGGTGGTCTCTAAGGTGTCACTCAAGAGCAAACCCAGCCTCCACCCCCAGATCACAATCCCTCATGTCCCTAGTTTTCTGTCCCCCAGTAGGAGGGATCTGGGGTTACTGCAATCTGCTTCTTGAGCTGCTCCGCCTCCTGCCGCAGTTGCTCCATCTCTCCCATGGTTGACAGGTCAAGGAGTTGCTCCTGCTCTTCCTGCCAGGAATGTGGATGAGTGTCAGAGAAACCCCAGGAGGTCATGTTCTATCCCTCTTACCCTATCCCAGACTCCTCATAAGGGCTGGGAGCCATATCAAGAAAGGGGAAAATGACTAGGGTACTCATTCCCCCTGAGGACCCCAGTCATTGCAGTCTTATGTGTCCAGCTCCAGCCCTGCCTGAGACCCCTGCTTCCCTGCAGCACCCCAGTCCCAGAGCACAAAGCTCAGCCAGCTTCCTCTTACTTGGGCTCTGACTGGACCTCTCCCAGGCTTCCAGCTCCGGTTCCCAGGCACCTCCTCACTCTCTTAGCTGCAACGCCCGCAGGTCACCTGCCCTACTCTGCTGCCAGAGGAGCTGGCCTGGCCTGGCCCCGACTGGGGACAGGGGAGTTGGGGGGGAGGGTGATGACAGGGAAGGGTAGGGCCAGCAGCGTCAGGCAAATGAAATCAGCTGGCAGGGATGAGGAAGAGAGGACAGGGAGGGTGGTGTGCAGCTCTGAGACCTGGGCCCAGCTTGGTGGAGGGGTGGAAGCGGGAGTGTGGAGCTAGAGAGGGGAGCAACTCCTGCAACTAGCCTGAGAGGGAGGGAGGTTGATGGTTGATGGGGTGCTTCTCTGGTCAGTCTCTCTGCAGGCACAGATAAGAGCATCAGGCCCCATGGGATTAGAGCAAAGCTGTGAGGATTAAGGGTTGGGGTTTGGAAGGGGTGCAAAGGAATAGCAGCAACCACAGCTCCAGTAGCCCCCTAGTCTGGTCCCTACCGGGGGTGATGATGTAGTAGTCAGGGCCTAACTAGCAACTAGCCCATGGGCCTGGATACAAGTGTAGAAAATGCACCTACTGTCAGTACCCCTAGGCTTTGTTCCTTAGCTCGGGCTGATGAGGGAAGAAGGTTATGGTGACTATGGGGAGGGGACAGTCCCGAGCTGAGATTAGAAGGGACTGATCTGGATAATCCTCCTTCTCAACAAGCCCCAACCAGCTGCCCTTGGGTCTGATCCTGAAGTGGGGCAGGGACAGGTACAGGGGATCCAGAGGGAAAGGTGGTCTGGCCTGCCCCTGGTTTACTGGGAGAAAAGCAAGGGGAGAGCAACATCATCTCCTGATCCCAGCCTAGGGAGACTCCCTTGACTCACAGGGCCCTACTGAGGCTGTGCAGGGAGGAGCCAGAGGGTCTTGGCTGCCACAAACCTCAGCCAGGCTCAGAGAAGGAAGATAGGGCTTAGAGTTGGAGGCCCAAGGAGCAGCTGTCAGGCTTGGGTGCATTTGCATGAGGGGAACAGGTGGCCGAGATTTCCCTGACAAATCGCAGGCTTGAGTGGCCCCACCTCTGGGAGGCCCAAAGACACCTGTCTCCTCCCAGGCTAACCACAACCACCCCCACTTCCAGCAACCACAGAAGCCCTGATAAACCCAACTGGGCCCCTGGCTGAGGGATCTGCATGTTCTTTATTGCATAGACTGGGAGGCGAGCAGTTATCCTTCCCCTCCCACCCTCCTCATCTAAAGCAATCAGTCCTCTGCCCCTTGCCATTATTGATCAGGGAAGCATAGTGTCTTCTCTCTGTCCCAGGGCTGAAGATGGGTGAGCTGGGGCCAGGCCTGGTGAGTTCTGTGCACAGTGTCTTGTATGGCGTAGGCTGAGGTTGCCTAACTAGATCCCAAGATGGTGGGAATACAGGGACAGCTCGCTGTCCTGCTCCTAATGTCACAGGGGGCTTCCAGGTGGTCTTGGCATCAAGGTGACCCTTCACACATCAGGAGGCCATATTCATAAGGAGTTGGCATAGCTCCTCACAGCTCCTCTCGGATCCGAGGTGGCTTCCCAGATTTGTCTTGGACTCGTTGAAGCTTGTGGCTTGGAGGCTCTGGGGCAGAGTCTTTACTGGGCATTTCTTCCTCTTCATCCTCCTCATCCTCCTCTTCTGGCTCCTGCAGTAGCTCCTTGGCTTGTGTCCATTCCTAGGAGTAGAGGAAGAGTCTTCCCAATCTCCTATAGTTCACTTTACCACCACCAATGCTTCCTGGGCTATGTCAGTCCCTGCTTCTCACCTATTAGCTATCTCAGCAGTTGTCTGCCCACCCATCACACCCAGGAGAACTCATACCCCTCACCACCCCTGAAACCTCTCACCTGCTCCCTGTGCTCTGGAGCCCACGTGTGCCACAGTGCCAGGGCACAGCGCCGTCCCCGTGTCACAGCCCACACACCATGTGGATTCTCTCCACCAGAGCTGAAGGCCACAAGACGTCCACAGCGGGGCCGAACCTGAGCCTGGGATGCAAGGACAGGTTCAGCCGCAGGGACGAACCCTTAGAGACGTCAACTCTTGTCCTCAAGTGCAAGGTGGGATGGGACTGGGAGCAGGTCTATGATTCTGCCTGTAATTTGCCACTCCTTAACTCAAGCATGAGTTTGGGGCAAATGGATAATGTAATGGTCTTAATCTGGGGAACAAAAATGTCAGAGGGAGGTTAGGGGAGTTGGAAGTCACAGAGAGAGAAGGCCTTTTGGTCTCCTCATTTCCCTCTACCCTAAATTTTCAACTCTTTGAACCAGGGTGTGAACAATCTGAGGGTCTGGGTACAGTGCCAGATCTTGGACACATTGTTTTTTTTCCACCCCAAGAAGAGTCTGAATTATTTGTAGTTGGGATCAACTAACTCAACAGCAATGAGTTTTGTGTGTTTGTTTTGTTTGTAAAGATCAACTAAATAGCAGTAGGTTAGGGTTTTGGTCTGGGGAGTACGGAAAAAAGGAGATAATTCAGTAAGAGGGCAGAAGTAATCAGAAATCACTGCTCCTCTCCGTCTACTCAGTTTTACCCCTGGGACTTTCCAAAACCCAAGAATAGGGAGAAAGTAATAATGTTACCTAACATATACATAAGGTTGCCCTTTCTGTTAATCTGCGTGTGTTCTGTTGTGTATAGGGTTTTCAGAGGCCTGCTAGGATGCTTTGGGCAGAATATTAAATGATCCAGGAAGTATTAAAAGAAGATGGAAGGAATATACGGAGTCATTATATAGAAAGGAATTGGCAGATACAGAGGAATTTAAAGAAATAACATATGAGCAAGAGCCTATGGTGATGAATGAAGAAGTTCAAGCTGCTTTGAAGGAAATAGCAAAAAATAAGGCCCCAGGAATAGATGGTATACCAATTGAAGTATTTCAGATAACAGATGTTGCCCTGGATGTGCTCACCAAGTTGTGCCAAGAAATCTGGAGAACAACCATTTGGCCAACTGACTGGAAGAGATCTATATTTGTTCCCATTCCAAAGAAAGGTGACCCAACTGAATGTGGAAACTACAGAACAGTGTCATTGATTTCACATGCAAGCAAGATTCTACTGAAGATCATCCAAAAACAATTAGAACAGCACATCAACAGAGAACTCCCGGAAGTTCAGGCTGGGTTTAGAAGGGGTCGTGGTACTAGGGATATTGTTGCTGATGTTAGATGGATCTTGGCTGAAAGCAGAGAATACCAGAAGAATGTCTATCTGTGTTTCATTGATTATGCAAAGGCATTTGACTGTGTGGATCATAACAAACTGGCTGACTCTGAGAAGAATGGGAATCCCAGAACATTTAATTGTGCTAATGCGAAACCTGTACTTGGATCAAGAGGCAGTAGTCAGAACAGAGCAGAGCAACACTGCATGGTTCAAAATTGGGAAGGGTGTACACCAGGGATGCATCCTGTCTCCATACCTTTTCAATATGTATGCAGAGCAGATTATCCGAGAAGCTGGGCTCTATGAGGAGATTTGTGGCATCAGGATTGGTGGAAGATCTATTAACAATCTGCGTTATGCAGATGACACAACCCTGCTTGCTGAAACTGAGGAGGACCTCATGCACTTGCTGCGAAGGGTCAAGGACTGCAGCCTTCAGTATGGACTGAGGCTCAATGTCAAGAAGACAAAGATTCTCGCCACTGGACCAATTGCCAGCATCAGGATGGATGACGAAGAGATTGAGAGTGTTCACAGCTTCAGTTTGCTCGGCTCCACAGTCAACACTCTTGGTACCAGCAGTCAGGAAATCAAAAAGCGTATCGAGATGGGAAAGTCTGCTGTTAGGGACCTCTCCAAAGTACTCAGGAGCAGCAGTATCTCTCTGGAGAGTAAGGTGCACCTGATACAGGCCATGGTCTTTGCAATCGCTTGTTATGCATCAGAGAGTTGGACAATGACTAGGGAGGACAGAAGGAGAGTGGATGCTTTTGAGCTGTGGGGCTGGAGAAGGGTACTGAATGTACCATGGACTGCCAGGAAAACAAACAGATTCATCTTGGAGAGGATTAAACCAAGCTATTCCTTGGAGGCAGGGATTCTGGGGTTTCGTCTGACATACTTTGGACATGTTGCCAGGAGGGACAGGTCCTTGGAGAGGGACATCATGCTTGGGAGGGTGGAGGGACAGCGCAGGAGGGGAAGACCCTCTATGAGATGGATTGATTCAGTGACTGGGGTAATCGGGATGGGTGTGTCAGAGGCGGTGCGGTTGGCGCAAGATAGAGCAGGATTTAGGGCTGTTGTGCATAGGGTCGCTATGAGTCGGAAATGACTCAACAGCACATAACAACAACAACATGTACAAGTTAATTATTATCAGGCACTGGCTTATTCTGTTAGGTGCATCACCTAATTTAGGGCCCCTGATGACATAGAACATTATGGGTTGGTCTGCTAACCAAGAGGTCGGTGGTTTGGAACCACGAGCTGTTTCAAGGGAAAAAGAAGATTTACAGTCTCAGGAACCCATTAGGAGGGTTGCTATGAGCCATAACTGACTCAATGGTGGTGGTGGGTTTTTAAAAAAAATGCTGTTGGTATAGAGAATTAAATGTTGGGCTACTAACCAAAAGGTTAAATAGTTCAAGTCCACCAGCTGCTCCACAGGAAAAAGATGTGGCAGTCTGCTTCCATAAAGATCTATAGGCTCAGAAACCCTATGAGCAGGTGCAGGGTTATGAGGAGTCCAGAGTCAGCTATCCTATATGGTTATTATGAGTCAGTATTATTATGACTAGACAGTAGTGGATTATCAAATGTATTTAGAGAAATAACCCTTTAAAATAGGCACTATTACTATATCCCCATTTAGGGAAAGGTATGCTGTTGTTGTTGTTGTTGTTGTTATGTGCCGTTGTGTCACAGGCGACTCATAGTGGCCCTATGAAGGAGAGTCCTCGACGCTTGGGTGTCTTTCAGCCTCTCTCCAGGTTCATAGGGTTTCCGGAGGCAAGCTATTATGGAAGTGGATGCCACTCCTCCTTCCATGCTTCAGAAAGTTTAGGAACCAAAATATAAATTCAGGTGAGGTCACCTCTGGGAGCTGTGCTGCTAGCCACTATGTTCATTTTGCTCATATTTCACTTGAAATATTTTCAGGTATCCTGAATCCTTGGAATAGGGCCACGGGGGTTCTGGGGAGTGCTGTAGGCTGTGCTTCACCTTACTCTCCTTTAGGAGCAAGGCAATCCACTGGTGCAGGGCCAGACACGCCATTTAAGATGACTGATGAGGCTTCACCAATTGCTGGGAAAGCCTAGCTGTGGGTCCTTGAACACAGAAGTGCATAGCGGCCCAAAAGAAGAGGAGTTAACGTGTCCCCGGCCATTTCCCTGTATTTGCCTTTGGGAACCTTTTGTTTTGAATCCCTAACCTTTTTGAATTCTCCACAGCTGGCTCACTGTCACGCCCCAACATCCTCCACCCCTTCTCTTACCGTAACAGTGAGAGCGTTGGGCTCCGTGAAGAACAAGTCCCCACCCTGGAAGTCATCATTGAGGTAGAGGAGTCCACTAGGCAGGGAGGAAGATAGGGGGCTGTGAGACACCAGCCCAGACTGGCTGTGGGGTGACTTCTTGCCTGATATCTGGAGGGGGCGCCCACCTGTAGTCACGATAGGTGTAGGCTGGAGGCTCCCGCCAGCACTCTCCAGTATCAGGGTCCAGGACACAGTTGTCTGCATGCACTGGGTGACTCAGGTCCATTCGCTGCTCTTGCTCTCCTAGAATGCAAAGGAGCCTGGCAAATGCCTCTGTCTGTGCCCATCCACCACCTCTGTGGACTCCCATCATCCATCCTGCAGTATCTGGGGTCACAGCTGGGCTCTAACCAAAAAGAAACCAAGTTCTTCTGGGAGTGAGAGCTGAAGCCTACCCTGGTTGGAGGGTTGAGGGTGTGCAGTACTAGAGGCTTGAAGTTGGAAAGGAGGAGTAGGGTCCCTGGTGGTTACCTTCGATGGCGCTGCGGCACACTAGGTGTGTGAAGGACAGATGTAGGGGCCGCTCTGGGGAGAAGTAGGCCTCTGTCAAGGTGCGAACACGCTCACTCACTTCCAGAAGCAGTTTAGCACCTTGACTGCCCACTGTCCCTGCCTGGGCCATCTTCAGAGAGAAAGGAAGGGCAAATAAGGAAAGCAGCAATAAAGGTATGGTCTCAGTCCCAGCCCTTGCTCCATGTCCACTGCTCTCCACAATGACAGTTTTTAAATAATCTATTGAGCTTAGCAGAGATTGTGAGAATGGTGCAGGATAGGGCAAGTTTTAAACCTGTCATTCATAGGGTCACTATGAGTCGAGGTTGATTCCAAAGCATCTAACAACAACAACAACAGACTTATTACTAAGAATATTAACTTTATTACTAATTTGGAGCCTCTCAGTAACCAATTCTTGCCTTCATCCCAAACAGTTCCTCTTTAGAACACTTCCTCCTTTTCCATCCCTGGACACAGGAGTCAGATACTACTCTCAGTCTCAGAACAATGCCCAGGGAAGGCCTAACCCTGGTGCCCAGCCACCTGCATTTCTCTTCCTTAGTTCTGCGTATCACACTATGGGTGCCTCCTCTCACCTGTGCAGCCTTGAGTACTGTGAGCCCCTCGAAGTGTTCATGGGGGGTGTGAGGGGAGCGACGGCCACGATAGCCAGACCTGGCTCCAGCCCCAGCTGCATCCTAAATAGGGAAGTTTAGTTTGGAGTCACTCTTCCGTCCTCAGGATAGTGCCCACCTCATTGCCCGAGGGGCTATCAGACCATCCCTCTGGACCCTCCCACTTCCCCAGCAGTGGCCAGAAGCTCCCAATCTTCTTGCAGCTCCCTTTCCTGAGTCTCTACCCTTTCCTAAAGCATGACTACCTTCATGGTTGTTTATACTGACATTCAGGTCTAACATCCATTCACCATGGAGAATTAGGACAGAAATCTGGAGAGCTTCCATGAAGGTAAAGACGGCTGGGGATGGGACAGAATTGGAGGGTGGAGCAAGAAGACCATAACCATTCATTCCCAAGTCACAAAAATAGGGAAATCTCTCCAGAATCAAGCCTCTTATTGGGAATTCAACAGTCAGGTCAGGTCCTTGCAGGAAAGTGGAGTAGTAACAGCATCTGCTAGGGTATCACTCTTGCTGTTTTCCACTTCACACTTTTTTTGTGAAACTACTGGCCCCATGGCTTCAACCATGCTAAGTCCCAAATATCCAACCACATATGTATTCTCACCACCTGGAATGTCCTCCAGTATTTGGATGTCTAAAATTAGGATCATTCCCCTCCTGCCCTCCATTCCTAGTTAAAGTACCACTACCTCGTTACCTCTGTATACAAACCTCATCTTGTGTGTGTGTGTGTGTGTGAGTGTACCGTCAAATCAGATCTGACTGGTACAGGAGGAGACTGTCCCTCCTTTTCCAGGCAGAGCATCTGGTGGATTCGAACCATGAGCCACTGGGATTGTAGTTGCAGCTCCTTGCCACTAGGCCACCAGAGCTCCCCTACAAACCTCATCTTTGAGAGACCTCTTGGACACCTAAGTCATCTAATTTTTTTTTCTATAATTATATTTTATTAATTTTCATAAACATTTACAGAGATTTTGGGCTTCCACTCATTCATTGTTGCACTATTCTCTCTACCCTCCTCCCAGTTTGCTCTTGTCCAAATGCCACAGTGCTTGTCAAAGCCAGTTCTGATTAATCTTCTTTGTCAGTGTATCCTTTGCCATTCCCTATCACTCCTCCCTGAGAGAGACTTCACCCTGAGTCATAAGGAAAAGGGGACGGCGTATTCTCTTAGCTACTTCCTGCTGAAAAGGGACGCTGTGGGTTTCAGGGTGAAGATCTTCTCTCACTACTCTAAAGGGCCCCTTTGGCAGTAGGAAACACATAGACTATTATGGAGATTGATTTTGGAATTCAGATGCACTCTTATTGATTGTGCTTGGCTGTACATGTACATATCCTTGAAGATGTATCATGGGGGTGTTGCAACCTAGAAGACACAAATTTCTAAGTCATCTAATTTCCTTTCCATTCACTCAAAAATTTATACTGAGTACCTACTATGTGCTAGACATTGTTTTAGGTACTGGGGATATAACTGTAAAAAAGATGGAGGGAAGAGCTTTTACTGTGAGATAAAATACTAAAAACATAATTAAATGACAGGATTAGTTCAGATAGTGAAAAAATTTATAAACCTAGAGAGTTCTTAGGCAGGGGTCTCTCCACTGAACTCATTGATAACAAGTTGGAACCAGCTCATAGCTGACCCTCCAGTAGGTTTTCAGAGGCTGTCGATTGCATGGAGAAGACTGCTCATCTTTCTCCTTTGGAGCTGCTGGTGGATTTGAACTGCCAGGGAGGTTCGGGTTAGTAATGCAACTCCCTAAAGGACTGTACCACTAAAACTCCTTTAGGCAGAGGTCAGGAGCAACTAATTAAAGAAGTGACATCTAAATTGAAACCAAATGATAAGGAGTCATTTGAATTTTACAGAGGAAAGAATTATATCATTCTATGAAGCAAACATATCTTTGATACCAAAGCCAGGAAAAGACAGCACCAAAATAGAAAACTATAGGCCAATATCTCTCATGAATATTG